GCAGTCCCATACTAGGACGAAAAGGCCGTCTAGTGCTTCCAGTTTTCCACGGCGGTCTAGTTTCAACTGACTCATGATTCCAACCGGTGAAGTATTATTATTGTTAAACTATTCACTTAAGAGTGTCTAGTAGAAAGCAGGCGCACTTTTATTTCCTATTTTCAAATTATAGAAAAACACATATAAATGATATGTCTACTAGATAAATATTATTACGATGCTGATCAAGTACTGGATGACTCTAACATCGTAATTTTTAGATTAAAGATGAACATAGGAGTGTTTTGGACAAAAAATAATGTAACTGATCATTTCAACTAGTGTTCAGTATATGATTAGTTCAGTCATATTGACACCTAAGAGTTTTTTGGTAAAAACAAAATTATCAGTATAGGATTATGGAAATTGCCTAGTTTTTATTGAGAATATCAACCGGTCAGTGTTAGAGTACCTTTGAAAACATGGGAATACTAGACGGCCGTCTTGCCCTAGCACGGGGCCCCTCAACAGTGCTCATCTACGATCCTGCAGACGGGATTCGAACCCGGGACCCTAGGTCTCATGCGCAAAATGGCAAATTAATAATAACTATTGCCACAGAAACGTTTCATCGCTTCCATTTTTCACTTATTTAATCGTCAACTTGAAAAGACGTGTATCTTATAGTTCTGACTGAAACTATCGATCCTTTATCACACAGATCAGTGATTTCTAGTGAATCAAATAAAGTTTCTTTTAGGTTATAATATAAGTTAGAAGAAAGTAAACTTCCTTTCTATACATTTTAATTTTGAGAACACTAAAATATTATATCCAAAGTAAACAATCTACTTAAGTTAGTAACCATTTTGACTAACTAGTATTGTTTTTCAGGTGCGATTAATAATATCCCAAATCTGACGAACTATGGTAAATCATACCTTTTATATTAAGACCAGTGATATATTCTGCTGACGTCACAGATGACTTAGTTTGACTGTTATCAGGCATGTTTCCTTTATTGACTCCTGGAATTAACGACGGATGGCTGATTCAAGCCTCTAAATGAGGAGCCTTTTTAAGTGGCTAAAGACATTCAGTTTTTAGTCCTGAAATAATTTGATTCAGATCAGTCCTAAAATAATAAGAAGGCACAGAATTTACGCCAAATGTTATTAAGTAAATATTGAAGAAAATGCTCTACCTCACTGATAATTTCGAATCGTAAATCCATATCATTCATATACTGAAATTGGGTCAGAATATCTTCCCACACAAACCACTGTTACCATAATGTGGCTTACGCATAAATGTATATAACTTGAAAATTTGTTAGAAATTTTACATAGAGTCTGATTAAATATATCAGTTATTTGGCTGACTGTAGCATTTTTATTTATTTGTCTTCTGCAATAGATTATTGATGTTTCCCTTATAAACTTACAAAAAAGAGATTATTCAATTATGAATTAATATCAATTATAAACTGAATAGATGTAAAAATAAACGTTTTGAGGTTATGTACTAATTTCATCTTTTTTTTCTTGTAACAAACATATCTTCTTTAGTTATGTTTTCCTCTCTTGCCTCAAATCACCAGTGGGCACTTCTTTAAAGCAGAGAAATTGTGCTAAAGCTAGTGGGGAGGGGACTCACTAGGTCAAACAAGAAGTTGACATTGGCAATAATATATTTTATTTTCCACATTATATAAGTTATTAAAAGACATGAGTTCTGTTAAGATGTTCATTTAGCGTAAATATCATTCAGTTTCATCAGTGATGTCAGCTCTGTCACCAAAAACGACCTTCTTAAGCTAGATCAGGCTTTCCATGAAGAACGTTCAAAGTTGCTTGTAGAAGCTGATTAAATGTAAATACATAAATTTTACCAAGATGAGAATATTAAGTGTACACAATTGAAGAATTCTACCATTAAATCAAACATCTTTCGATTATTAACTGATTTCCATCAGTTATGTAGTTCATTATAGTTCGTGATTAAACTATCTTGGTATTTTACAGATAATAATGAGGTGAACATCCATACTAAATGTACAATTAAATTTATACCATCGATTAATCCTTTATTGAAATTATTGAAATTAGTGAATGATTTTACATTATATTAAATAACACAATATTTTGATATCTATTTGTTCAAAAGATGATTTCTGTTATTTCTGTCATGGAACTAAAGAAAGAGAATGCATTGAGATTCTATTCATCCATATATATATATATATATATATATATATATATATATATATATATATATATATATATATATATATATATATATGTAATCTTAGACCTTATTACTAACCAATACCCAGCAACACTTATCACTTCTTCTTGATTCAGTAATAATCATTCAATGTAAAACTTGACATTATAGAATTAATCAATAAGCAAAATGGGAAAATATGTATTCCTATCAATAAATCAAATCATTTAAATTACCACTACTTTTTGGGAAAATCTATTTTTTTTTGTTTTTTTATTTACTGGAATAAAGGCAAATAAATTACAGTTTTTGGATTATATAATTAAGTATAAAATACAATTACTAGTAGTTGACAACTCATTAATGTAATGATACATTTGTTGACTAGATTGACTTTTCATTATTCAATCAATATAGCTTTAAACTTCAAAGTCATTAATTTTTTGGTAATTACTATTTAAAGTAATGTAATAAATATTGACAGTTGTTTATTTAATAGTTGAATTCATTGGTCAATTAAAACTAGACCACCATAGAAAACTTGAGAGTACGGAATGGCCCTTTAGTCCTAGTATGAGACTCCTAAGCAGTGCACTTCCATGATCTCACCCGTGGGATTCGAACCCTGAACCCTCCGGTCTCAAACGCGTACGCTTAAATTCTAGACCACTGAACCGGCTGTTATCCAACAGTTTGAATGTCTAACTATTGAATTATTAAGGATTATACTGTGATGTATTCATTGTATTGACAGTAATAAAAATAAAATTTGGTCTTAGTTAAATAATGTTGTGTTTTATTGAACTAAGAGATTGATTTTTTGAATACCTTCTAGAAAAGATTTCAGTAATCACCACAAAAAAGTCATCATATTTATTTTCATCGTAATTTCGTTTTTTTAAACGAGTTCTGCATTTTACATTGGAAAAGATTTTGAATGTTAGAATTTTATGGCAAATTAAGTATATTTGGATTGATATAATGAATTGTATTTAACAGTAAATTGACTCTATTTGACCGTGGAAAAAGTCTTAATCAAATATGTAAAAAATGATTTGGAAGTAATGACTGTGTACTTATCCAAACAGAATATTCAAGGGCATTAGATAGCATTTAACGTTGTAAAACTGTTACAGCAATGAATGACTACTTCTACTAATACAGGAATTTGTTTAAATGTTTTATTTAAGATTTTCTTATCACTCAACTTAAAATTCATGATGATAATTTATGAACAATGTAGGAGAGTGTCAATTAGTTTATTGAATCTGTGAAACGAAACTCTTATGTAATCTAAATATGGTATTTGAAGAAATGATTACTTTGAAATTATTCTGGTTATATCTGCTGATTGTTTGTTGACTTTTTGATTCCTTCTACTACATAAGACTTACCCGATGAGTATCTATAACCTGTTCATATTTATTCCTCTTTTGTGTGTGTGTGCTTCTCTTTCTTCTCATCTTCGATACTAATATTATCTTGATCCTATCTAGGCAATTCTATCTCTCTCATAATGATTTAGTGTAAGAACATTATCTGATTTACATTCATTCTATGCTAAATATTGATTATGACAGACTAATCCTGTATTTTATTGTTTTCTATGATGTAAATTACTCACTATGAGTAATCAAGTCTAATCCATTAGATACTTTAAGAAACAACATTTATAATTGAGTAAAACATAACATAGTTTACACCTACATTTAGACATTCAATTTGATTTTTCAAATGTCAAGATACTTTATTACCACTTTTACATTGTTCAAAATCATCTTGTTTTCAGTAGTAAAATGCTTCTTTTTATTTTGAAAAATTGATAGTTCATTAATTAAAATTTAAAAACATCATTGAAACTGAAATTCAAAAACAATCACTGGGTGGTCATCAAAGTCAAAATACGATCATTCTGAATTTTGTTTATATTGTTGTATAAGATTTAAACAATTAAAAGTTAGATACTGAAGAACTTCTTCATAAATATTAAAACAAAAATGCCACGTTATTTAAATACAGTGTCAAAATATCAGATCATTTTATTCAGTTTGACCATTATAGGTTACAATATAAACCAATAAACTATAGTTTGATAGTGTTCTCCCATTTCATGTTAACAAACAATATAGACTAATTGATATCTAGAAAATAAAAATCATTGTAATGATAAATAAATAAAATGCAATTTAATTGTATTTGAACTCCTAGATCTAAATGGTATTACTTTTTTAACCATTCAATGGATTCACTGTTTACTTAAGTTTCTTCAGTAGTTTCAATACATTAATTCTCAATTTAAAAAAAGAAACTAAATTACTAATTAAGCAAAGATGGATAGTGACTAGCAGTGGAGTCCTGGACGCCTGTCTCATTTTATTTGGGACTCGTCAGCTGGATGTACCTGCATCCCAGAGTTCATGTTCACTCCGAAACTAGAACCCAATACCTCTCGCTTCAAACGCTATTGCGTTAAACACTTAGTTACTGAGGACTCAATAGCGTGAAAATCAACCCTGGGATGCAAGTACATCCGGATGACGAGTCCCAAATAAGACAAAACGCGTGTCCTAGATTCCACTGTTAGCCACTATCCATCTTCGCTTATAATGCTTGTGACAATCCGCACAGGATGCGCATATGCCAATATTAGACTGATCAATTGCAGTTCTAAATAACAATGGGAGACACAAGTAAAACAGCACCAAGTGAATTTAAATTACTAATTACTATAATATATTGAATTTATAACAAATATGAGCGTTACATTTATAAAATGCAATGTTGATATTACTTACCATTTGCATTTGATTTTAAACATCTTTGCAAACTTGTTTCGGAAGATGAAGTTAATTGTATTGAAAGATTATGGTTAAGTACAGCTTCTAATACTATTAATCCCATGTCCATAGAAAACGCTTTACAGGATAATTCAACATAAGAATCTGCACAAATAACCTCTTGTTTAGAATAGACTGATAAAAAAAGAGTAGGAACGGATATCAAGATAAATGTGAAATAAAACTTACATATATGAGTACTGGGTATTACATCTAAATAACTTGGACATTAGATATGGATTGACATACAATTTCACTTAAATGAGATCATGAAGCGATCATTGTTAGACCACCGTTGGAAACATGAAAACACTGAGTGACCATTTGTGGGGATACGTACTTCTGAGGAGTCCCATACTATTTATTTATTTATTTCAACACATAGATATTGGTACAAAGAGGCACCAAATACATATGCGCCACACAAATCTCATTCGATATGTGTGAGGGCTGTGACACTGCCCGGGTGCCCAAACCGAAGCAGGTGGTTTTCTTAGGGGGCCACACCCCGAGCCTTCGACCTGAAGGTCTGATCCACAAGGCAGTGGAGCATCGTAAGGAGATGCAGTCCCATGGTAGCCGGTGACCAACAGTTGGTTCATACGCCATTTGTTCCCACAGGATACTGGAGCCCATGTGCACCATTGGTTTGTGATCCGGTTAAAGCGCCGGACGTTCGCCTTTCGTCCTCTCATTATCGTAAACAACACCCCCGCCACGAGAAGTCAATGAGTAGGACTTCCCTGGCAGAGTCTATATATGCGTGACCATGTGAGAGCATTTCGAGAGGGAGAGCGGACTCTTCTCACTCTCTGCCGTACCAGTGCATTCGGATAATAATAATAATAATAATAATAATAATAATTTTTAGATTTTACAGATTAACCCATTTACCTGGGAAGCATGTATAATTTACTTGTAAAACCGATGGGTATGGACAATTTGTAATGTTCTTCTGTTTTAATTGATGAATTAAATCACATCTATTTGTACCATCACATAACCGTTTTACAATCTAAAAATTAGTAAATTAAAATAAATGAAAAGTTATTACTAATGAATTACATTATAAGTAATATATTTGTAATGAGTAAATGAAGTGATTGTTTGTATTTATATCCAAAACATATTGAATCAAACCTGATATTTGTTTGCTTTTTAATTAATACTAATCGAAATAATGTAAAAGACGTTAATTTTTTCTTAGTTATTATGCTCAGAACGTGATTATCTAGGATGCGGATCAATCAAATTTTGATCATAAAACCATTTAACAAGTGTATGGAACTATCCAATTAAATTCATCGGACAATATAATTGTAATTTGTAATCCTCTTGATTCCCATAATCTAAAGTTCCATTTTTTATGAGTTTGTAAACAGTAATAGATTTTATGAAGTCGGTTTTCATCACAAAGTAACATTTATTGGAGAATTATTGAAAACAGGATAACAATAAACAGCTAGTTCGCATTATTTGACAACTTTAATCTGTTCTATTAAGCAATATACTGAAGTAAATTTAACATATTGAATGTCAAATTACTTTCATATGTCAAGTAAATTAATGACCATCTGTTTTCATTAGCTCAGTTTATAATACTTTATTGTTTGAAGACATTGGTAAAGGGTTCAAGTTTTAGCATGGAAATTACTACTGTAGGTTTATCTAGATTACTAGTCTTAAAAAGATGAAGCCTACACCGTTAATGATAGCATCATATACAATACAAATAAACTAACATAGTGACTACTTTAAGCTATTATTAAACAGTAATAAAGCTAACCACTGTGATATTATAAAAAGATATAAGAATTTATATAATTAATTGTAATTGAATTCAACTTACCTGTCCAACTGATTTAGCATAGCATTCAGTTATCAAACTGAACTTTGTTGTTGGTCTATCTAAATACTTTAGATTTCTTTCAATATGCTCAGGTGAATTCGAGCACTGTGAATTTTTGTCAAGTACTTGACTGTAATATGCATCAAAAATATGTAAAGTTGTTCTATATGGACAGGAAATTGATGTTTGTTGATCTATGATCATTGGATTTGAATAACTATTTACTTCAACATTTGTACATAAGGTAATTACAAACTGCTTGAGTCCTAATGAATTTAATTTTTAAAAAAAAGGTGAATGTAAACATGAAAAAGATTATTGAAATTATTGGTCAAATTAGTTTATTAGTTTATCATTATTTATAAAGTTACTGTTTATTAGGTCAAATAATAGACTCAAACGGCATGGATTCAATCAGCATGCTAATTGTAGAAACGTGAGTGTATTGTTTATAAGTATAATGCAAAACATTAATTTAGTTACTGAAGAGTAATACTAAGCCATACATTACTTTATCAAAGTTTATGCGATATAAGATTGATACTTTTAAAATGAAAAAAATACATCAAAAATAAAATGTCAGTTATTGGGAAAAAAAAGCTAATTTAGCAAATGGCTACCTAGAGACAATGGGGAAACAGTGTACTAATACTATTATTATTGTTATTTGGTTGATACAAAACCTGTCAGTTGACAAATTTACTATCCTTAATTTATAAAATTTAAAATTAAAGGTTACGTCAAAATGTCATAATTTGTCTCCTAATATTTCAATTTACTAATCAGTAACGAGTAATAACATAATGTTGAAAATAATATTTAGAATTGATTCAACATTTTAGGATTCTGTTTACATTTTCTCAATGAATTTCAGTCTTAAACATTAACGGGAAGATTCAAGTAAATAATATCAAGTGAATTTAAATTTGACCCCATCGCACAAGTTAGTGGCTATCAGGACTCAGTAGCTAAGTGAATAACGCAATGGCATTTGAAGCGAACAGTACTGGGTTCGAGTCATGGAGTGAACATCAACTCTGAGATGCAAGTGCATCCAGCTGATGAGTCCTAAATAGAACGAAACGCCGGTCCTGTATGCCACTGTTAGCCACTATCCATTTTTGCATATAATGCTTGTGAATTAAGGCAATATTGGGGTAATACGCACGGTATGCACATATGCCAATATTAGACTGATCAATTTCAGTCCTAAAACATCAATGATAAGATTCAAGTAAACAATATCAATCAATTTTGTTTATTTTCCCATTTATGACATTTTAAAAAAATTATCTGTCAAATAATTTCATTTTACAAAATTATTCAACTTTCATTTAGGATTTGATAATATACCCTCAGAATATGAAACAAAAGAAAAACTTGTATCTATCTTGATTTGAGAATTCTACATTGTACCAAAATATAATATTGAATAAAGCCATTAATAATAATAATAATAATAATAATAATAATAATAATAATAATAATATGTGTTATTGATTACAGTTAGGAACTTGTGGTAAAAACAAATTGATTAATTGGTTTTCTGTGTATATTTTGTTGTTGTTGTTGTTGTTGAGTAATTAGTACTTTGCATTGCAAACATATAAGTTTACAGATAATATGACTCATTATTTAATTTGTTTTCATCATTAATTTACTCCAAAAAAAGATTTTTGTTTTCCCTTTGATTCTTTCCATAGGAAACTATCTTGTGTTTTTATTGATGTATTTTGTATAAAACACTCCTCTTTTTCTTGTGAATATCATAAACGTTTATAACTTTGTTTATGATATGAACAGCATTTTCGAAAAAGTAAACAAAATGTTTGTTTAAAATTGTCAAATCGAAAACAGGTATATATATTTATATATAAGTATTATATAAGTCTAAATATTTATGATTGGAAATATTCTCTTAATTGTTGTGATTTATCTGTGTTATAACTTGTGACCTATGTGTCCTGTTAATGTATAACGTGACGATACCGCCAATTAGAGAACAGTCAATTATCGATCGGACTAATTATGCTTAAAACCCGTACGAGCAGTCTAGAGTCCTTATTGGTTCTGCTTTCCACCTAGCCCATCCAGTTAAGTCTAGAACACAAATCTCAGCTTCTGCAATATGAATCATTTATTTCAAACATACTGGGTTTATATATCGACTAGACAGACTACATCGTATCATAAAATAAAAAATAACAGTCAAATGTGGCTGTGAATGAGGGAGGTATTAATTAATAGACAGTCCATAATTCAAGCATGATACGTCGTATAATAATTGTCCATAGGTCAAAATAAAGCTCATAATAAGAGGGATAGGAATATGTATAGTTTAGTTATTTACCAATTATACGCATATTATTGGTTCATAAATGGATCCCAAAGGTGACCATTCATTATGCTTATCGGGACATAACAATCTGCTTATACGAAGGAATAGAATATTACATAATATCTTATCTGATGAAGTTGAATTTGGAAATTTTTTCAAAGTATATCATCACAGTATGTAGAATTACTAGACCATCATAGAATTCATCGCTCTTAAATGCTCTGGTACGGCGGAGAGTAGGGAGAGTCGGATCTTCCTCTTGAAACGCTCTCACATGGCTACGCGTATACTGATAGGGAAGTTCTACCCACTGCCTTCGTGTGGCGAGGGTAGTGTTTACAATATTAAGAATACGAAAATCATTCGTCCGACGCTTTAACCGATTTGGCGGACACGGAGAGTTCACCTAGGGGAGCTGGTGAACCGTTATGCCGAACCAATGGTGCACATGGGTTCCGGGATCATGAAAGAACATATGGAGTGTGAATCAGTCGATGTTCATCGGCTATCATGAGACTGCATCTCTTGACGTTGCTGTACTCTCCGGTGGATCTGACCTTTAGATCGAAGGCTCCGTAGGTAATCTCTTACAAAAACCACCTGCTTCGTTCTGTGCACGCAGGCAGTATCATAATCCACACAAAAGTCATATGGCTTGTATAGCGCATATATATTCAGTGCCCTTTCGTACCAATATTTATGTGCTCATATAAATAATAAACAAATAACATAGGATCTATCATATCAATTATCTAAAACTCACTGTAATGTTAATTTGATTATAAATTGATTGTTTCAGATGTTTTTTTTTACAGTAATAGAAAACTCAATATTCTTAAGAATGCTAATTACTTTATAGTAGTTTTAATCAAGGCAATCATAGTTATGACCCCATTCAATGATAACATTTTACAAAGAAATCAATTTCGAAATTAAAATTTTATATTTGGCATCCAGTCTTAGTAATTATTTATAAAGAAGAGAAAACATTAGAATTAACTGAAATTTCCACTACTATATTCATTTTCTAATGGCCTTCCATCATAACTTATACCAGTTAATTTGATTTAAAAAATACGTATTACACAGGAAAATACACTAATACAATAGTTTTTCTATTTAATAAGTAGACTACCCTACAAATACATGTTCGTTCGATGTAATGTCATTAAACAACTTTAGATTGAAATACTTTGTAAAAGTTATTTATTGTCTCACTTAGATGAGTTTCTGACTATAATTAGGATTTACTACTCAAGTCGATATATTTTCATGAGGATTTTGAAACACCAGTTGAAGGTTTTAATTTATGAACAGTTGACTAAGGTACTTAATCAATGAATTCAACTAGGGAGATTTCTTACTTTACTCATAGCCATGTGTTCATAATACTACTATAGTGAAGGAGAACACAGGTGAGGACAACCGAGTTATATCTAGCACATTACAGAGTTACTTGGTAAGACAGAAAAAAACATACTGTAATACATAATTTGCAATATCTTCAATAATTGTCTCGGACTTCATTGTTCTTTCATTTCCATACTAATTGCTTTCTATTCCCGTTCTTCCTTTCTTGATCTTCCCAATCTTCTGCTGCCAGACGTTACATTCCTGACTCGCGTTATATACTACTTATGTCAATATAAGTAGCACGCACCACAGTACCACTTTTGGAATAAATATTAACACGTTTTTCAGAGAACTATAGTTATTGTATCATTTCTCATTCGCTAGTAGCTGGTATTAAGTCTTTTGGTATATAAACATAACTTGCACTGTCATAGTACAACATTTCATTATGTTTAGTGTAGAATTGTTAGAGATGAAAATGTAAGAAAATATGAGGCTCAATATTTTAAGTATAACTAACTTTACCCTTCTTCAAAAGATTAGTTTTGTAATAGTCCGTGTTTAATTGTTCATAACGTTTCTATATCTCTGATTACTGATTTCATTACTATCCATCTCTTACAATCCAGTTAATTCATAGTCATAATGAAATAACTCAATATTTCTAAATGTAACATTCAAATCATATGAAAATCCCACTGATTCTAGTAATAATTTTAATACTAAAGAATATATTCATACTTAAATATCTCTCATTTTGATTTCTAGAACAAGGTGTCTAATTATGGTTATATGCTTCTGGAACTACCGATTTAAATAATTATAGTTACATACTTCCTTCTGTCGGACAAAAGAAATAAAATTGTATAGCGAATAAAACATAATGAATGGTTTTTTAATAAGTTGACAGATCATTCTAAAAATGATACAAATTCCTTTAACGTTGGATTTTCTATTACGAAAATTATTATATTATTTTTTGTTAGAATAATTCCAATGACATAATTATTTATTTCTAACTAATAAGTTATATGTACCACAAAACTACGGTTCATTTCTTTTCTCAGTTAACTTGAAATGATACATCCTTGACAGTTCAGATTTGGTTACCATGACAACAGGATGATATTACCAAATTATATACAGTTCGTCAGTGTCTGTTAGAAATTTCAATGTGTTTAACATAATTCGTCTACTATAAGTAACTAACACATAGTTCTAAAAAAAATTATTCATATTATATAATAAAATTACTATACACAGAATCGGACTGATGGATTGGATCTGTGTTAAACCTTCAATATTGATTGAATCCTACCGACCATTTTACAATGTGACTAATAAGTTGTTTGATACTGAAGTTTTTTTTCAAATTGAATGATTGAAAGGGATTAACAGAATGCTCTGGATCTAGATTTTGTGATAGATGTCTCGTGTCATCGAGATATATTTTCAACCTTCAGTAAAATAGTATCTATTAGGTAATTCGAACTGACGTCATATAGTGTAACTG